AAATAATAATATGAACTTAATTTACATCATCCATTATTGAACCCAAGAATCAAAGCACAATCAGAAGTATTTCGAAGAAAAAAAACAGAGAGAAAAATGCTCCTATATTTTCAAAATAATAATACAATATGTAAATTTGTTGACAAATAAAATAATTTTTTGGTTTTATTAAAAATTATAAATTAGTTATATGACTTTGACTTTCTTCTCTTTGAAAGTGGATAATCATTTTCATCGACATTAAACTCACTTCCTAAAGATACATTAATTGAATTACTTTCTGCATATACATAATCGTGCAACATTTTGATAGCAGGCTCTTCAGAAGCTGGTCGGTAAAAACATATTTCAGTATCATATTCCCAGAAAAATTCCCAATAGTTATTGAGATCATTTAAGAGTGATAATACATTGTTATTTGAATAATGATTAGCCACGAGGAGCTGAGCTTGTGTTTGAAACCTTGTATTTTGTTTCACCTGTTCTTTCTTTTTCAATTCTATAGTTACTCTGATTCAAGAAACTTCTTGCCCATAAGCAACTGAATACCTTTATTAAGAATTACAACATCGGTTGTACCTTTCAAATCAAAAGGGTGCCATAATTGATCCACTGCATTGAGAAAATTCGCATTACTTCTAGCATCATACCACTCGAGATCCAACGGTAAAATTATTATCTGTTTTAAATATTCCATATATCTACTATATTGTTTGTCTTCGTTGATGTCATTGTTCCAATTGAAAGAATTAATTTCATTTATGTTATTTTTTAAAAAGGGCAATCTATTGCTATGTATTTAAGTTTTAATAAGTTTTGGATCTGATTCATGTGTTGAATCCCAATGCTTGATAATGACGTTGACTGATTCTAATCTTCGGGAAAATTCTAGAATAAAGAATTTAGTTAGTTTCTGCCATTATATTTATATATGAAACCGAAATTAGTAGTTACTGTCTAAATATTTTGGTCGAAATGATTTTTCTATTCATATTATGTATCATTATGATTTGTGTAGATTGAAGTAGTTACCATCTAAAAAATAAATAAAATCAATAAAATAAACCTTCCATCTTTTTTTTTATCTATTTAGAATTAAATTCATTTCGGATTGACAAAAAAGGGGCAAGACTAAACTTGCTAAAATATCAATGCAAAAATGGCCATCAAGCTGGATTAAAAAAATTTAATTTATTATTTATTATATATACATAATAAAATGATTTATTATTTTCCCAACCAATTAAAATAATAAATATAAAAATTTATATAAAAAATCCTAAAACCTGATCAATCCACTAATTTCTGACAATCATCAAACTTCATTGTAAAGGGTTTAGGTCCTCTCCAATTCTTTATTAGATTATCAAAAGAATTGATATTAACAGTAAAGAAATAACAAGGAAGTATTATTGACTTTAATTTTTTTGGTAATGATTGATTTAATACTGAAAGTATTTTATCACCATCTAATGTATACATATCCTTACAAGCAATTTTAAATACAATACTTTCTAATTTAATACAACTATTGAATAATTCTGTTAACTCTTGGTTTAATTCATTATTATAAAGTATTGATAAGCCTACTAGATTGTTACAACATTGTGCAATTGATTGAAATAGCCTTCCCAAAATTCACCACAATTTGAAGCACCACCAATAACCAGATATTTAAGATTTTTTCTGTTGATATTAATAAAATCTGAAAAATCTGACAGGGATGGTTCATTATAAATATCACACATATATAATGACACAGATTCAATATTTGGCAGTGAAATATCTTTCAAATATTTTGCTTGTTCATTATTACTACAAAATGATAAAGTTTTCAAATTGATAAATGTTGGTAATAATATATGATCAATATTACTTAATCCCTCACTTGTATAATAAATTATTGATTGTGAATGTGTAAGAATTGCTTTTTTGAAATTATCTGATAAGGGTTGACTAAAGTATGAACTAATGTTTAATTCCTTTATTTGATTTTGTGCATTAATTAGTTGAGCCAGACTATCTTCAAATTTATTGTCATATGAGCCATACATTCCTAATGATTGAATACCTTTGCAAATATTTGCTAATTTATCAATAAATTCATTGCTAATATTATCATAACAAACTAATTTATTAAGATTCTGAAAACTATTATCAAGTCTATAATAATTATTTACCAAATAAGAAGACATTTCAGCAGTACTAAGTTCTCTAATAACTGCTGAATGATCTAAAATAAAATTTACTAATCTATTTTGTAAAATATCCAATTTAGAAATGTCTGGCAGCAATTGAGAATTATAGTAACGACTGAAATAAAATCTAGTACAAAATCTAGCATAATTATATAATGGTGATTTATCCAATAGCTCAAAAGTCAATTCAATGCTATTCCTTGTTAAGAAATCTTTATCTTCTTTCAATAAACAATTAATTATTATTTTGATAGAATCATAAGAATAAAGTGGATTTCTCCATAAAATCGGAAGATTAATATTGTGCCATTGTTTATTGACAAGAATGCAAGAATATAATGTTTCATAATCATCATCACTGTGTTTAAATACTTCAGATAAAAGCTCAAGTGGCAAAATCATTGTTTTTTCGTAGAAAGAAAATTTTATTTGTTGCACAATAAAAATGATTTTTTCCCAACAAATTAAAATCAAATAATATATTAAACGAGAATTGACCTATAAGAAATCATTATTTCTTGGTAATGTTTGACCTAGTATTGAAAGCATTTTATCACAATCAAATATATCCATAAAATCAATTACAATTATTGAATACTTCAGTTAGCTCCCGGTTTACTTTATCATTATAAAAATAAGTTTACTAGATTTTACACTATTGTGCAATTGATTTAAGTAGCTTTCCCGACAATTCTCTATTGGATATTTAAGAGTTTTTCAATTGACGTTAATAAAATTATAAATTCTGATAGAAATGGTTGATCATAAATATGTAACCTCACGGATTCAATATTTGACAATGAGATTATTTTATTCTGTACAAGTAGCAGTAGGTAATGTTAATAATAAAGTCTCTGGATTCTTTAAGCACTGGTGATAATTAAGTCTCTGAACGAATCAATAAAATTTGAACTGAACTGATTTGATTTAATTCAAATCAAACACGAATCAAGTACAAATTGTGCTTTGACTTGATTCAGACCGGTTTTGAATCTATAAATGATTTGATTTGAAATCTAATTCAAATATATACACATATGAAATAATTTGAATTCTGCACAATTTTAAAAAGAGTTGCCTTTGGAAATAAATGGTTTTGAAAGTCAAAAAAAATATCTGCCTAATACAATAATTGCATTTGGTTTTTTCCATCTACAACTGTGAAATGGTTCCACACTTCACTTCTTGTTCTTCTTTGAACACATGATTGCACCGTGCCTGTTTAAGAAGTAGTTGAAGAGACATTTTCAACAATGCAATTATCATCATTCATCATTGTTACAATTTCACTGTATCTTCGTTACATACTATGTATGATTGTATTTCGTACAATTCGTACAGATTCGTTGTGGTCGTACACCTGTACGAATGTATGAACAATGATTTTCTACAAATATTTATTTTGTAAATAATAACAATAATATTACTATTATCATTACCAGGTCGTAATACTACTTCATTATTAGAAAAAACCTGATTATTCATGTTATATTTACTTAAACCCCTTTTATTTGACTATTCTTGGCACATTATTTATGATTTCTAATTTTTTTCCTATTATTAATTA